AGTGTTCTAGACAAGAGAAATATAAAGATTCAAATTGAGGAGAGCGGAAAAGACGGCAAGCAGTTCGGAGTTCTTTGCGTGGTCTTGCAGTCGCGTGAACGGCGTATGGCAAAATAGCGGGACAGCAAAGCCAAAATTGCACACAAAAGAAAAATTAAATAAATTAATATTGAGAAAAAATACAAAAAAAAAGAAAGTGTTGTGCATGACTTAACCCCTGAAATAAGCCATTTAATTTGAGCAAATGCAAAGAACAAGCAACACCAGAGACGCGGACGCGGTTGGTCGGCAGGAGCGGCAGGCCGAGGTGGTAAGAGGAGATATCTCTGTGGGTTGTTGCTTTCGCCTTGGTTTCGGGTTCCGTCTGCCTTCTCATACCACTCAACGGTTATAAGCCAATTAAACAAATCATTTTAGTTCCAATTAAATCTAGATCCACCTCCAAAAACGCCTTCTATGGGGGGATACAGCGGGAAACCCCCCTCTGGCTCCTGCTCATTGCGGGGGGTGCTGTGGCACCCTTCCGATGCTCTACGACTGGGCTTTTTTGCGCTGTGACGGACTTCATGTGCCCTTTATTCGTGGATCGCGTTATGGCTTAGTGCAATATGCAGACAGCGCAAGCAGCGGCAATCGTGTGTGGCAGCTTCCTTGGTGCTTGCAAACGTCTCCAGAGCCAGTGGCTTGGTTGTGGTGGCGGTCTGAGCGAAGGGTCGATGCTGGTGTTTNTCTCCAGAGCCAGTGGCTTGGTTGTGGTGGCGGTCTGAGCGAAGGGTCGATGCTGGTGTTTGCACAGGCAGTGAAGCATCATTTCTCCTCCCTAAACCAAAATAATAATTAATAAATTTGTTAAGTTCTTTAAATGCGAAGAAACACCGTGGATATACCCCAGCTAGTCTCGAAAAAAAGTTGAACAGAAGTTCTAGGTCCTACGGTTCACAGGGTTTAGGGTTTCGGGTTTTATGGTTTGGCAATTGAAACAGGATCTGGAGCCCGATCCGCCTGAAACTGTTTTTTGGATTTCTTCTGGAGTGCGGGCTGGTTGCTGACGGCCGATGAATGGGGCAGCGTATACCGGCAGTGTTAATCTGTGCGGGGGGTTGGTGCTTGGATATGCTTACCTAGGACCGTCATGAGCTGCAGCAGAGTGAACACTTGAGATAAAAGTTTTAAAAAAACTGCTGATAATCTCCTCTCCATCCTTTCAATACCCCAGGAAAGGAGGTACAATGGCCGGAGACTGATGTTGAGAGGGGGTGACCTCTAGTGAGATGCAAAAGCCCCTGTAGTGCATTGGCACTACAATGCACAGCTGTAGACACCTAGTGGACGAAAAGGAGACGAAAATTTATAATTACGTTCAAAACCTTAAAGTTAATTAACCAAATTGTAGAGCGAAAGTGGCTAGCCGAGCATAGCCGACTAAATTGTAGAGCGAAAGTGGTTAGCCGAGGATAGCCGACTCCCTCGTTAGAGGCAGAGTCACCGCAGAACGTAGGCAGGCAGCAGCGTGGCGGCCCCACGTCGGCGTCCCCCACGGTTCTAAGATCTGGCCGGCCGATCGCCCAGACAAGGGCGAACGGATTGGCGAGGAGATCGGACCAGGCGAACCATTTTCCTCTAATATTTGTCCACTAAATTGCCTACGTAACTGTTATTAACGACTAGATTCGACTATATTCGTAGATCCTGCACGTATTAGTCGCGAACTACCTCACTTAGCGGGTTGCGCACGCGGTGCATAGGCGCGGCAAGTCATTACAGCCCTGCTGCTGCAACAAACCCTGCTGCTGCCTCCTGCAGAGCGGTTGTAGATTAGAGCGTAAGCAGCTGCCTTGCTGCAAACTTAGCTAGTTTGTTAAATTAAGATGTGGACTTCTTTTTTCTCTCAAAAGCATCAACTTCTTGCTGAGGAGCCGCCTGTACAACTCTGCGTCGTTGAGTTCAAGGCGGTGGTGCGCCGAGTAGAAGAAGATGAATTTCAGAGTACTATTGAACAGAACGATGAATAATGTCCAAGGAACAGACACAACATGAATACTAAAACACTTTTTATGAATATAGTTGTACACAATATTAAAAAATAAATTGGAATAAATTTCTCGACCAACATTGACTGCAGATAGACTTCCTATAAGTCTGTTCTTGGGCAGCTTAATTATACAAGACGAGCCAAGGTATAAATATACGCTACTACAGCAACCACATATATATATATATATATATATATATATGTATATATATATATATATATATATATATATAAATGCG